CTACAACAGGGAGCTTTGTATCATAAAAGCCTGGAGTGTTTCTCACCTTAAATCTCCTTTTTCCTTCAGATCTAAAACATTGGCATTCATCCAGTTTCTTGCTAGATTAAGATCCTTAAACATTTTGGACTTAGTTCTGTTTTGAAAGTAAAACAAGGATTACTGGCTTATCTATAGTTTTATTGTAAGTAATGTGTGCAGTTACAGAGTAATTGAAGGTTTGTGAGTCCAAAGGCTTCCAGACGTAAACAGATTTACCTGACTCTTAATAATCCAGGTAAAGGGAATTATTATTTAGAATTATCCTGGATAAAGAAATATCAATTAGCTGAGTATAAATTGCTGCTGTTACTGTGCTGGTGTCTCATACTTAGGGCTTATTCATTCTGCTACTTTCTTACTCTCTCTTCCCTCCAAATCGACTTTCCCTCCAAAGTCTACTAAGAACAGAATTCCTGACCTCAAGTGAGATGCGACTACAGAGGTATCAGTGTGCTGTCATGGTTTCCTCACTTCACCATAAAAGCAAGACTGCAGCTTCACCTTACAAAACCTTGTTCCCTCCTTGTGCTTTGGGCTTCAATGTCCCCGTCTTCATATGATAAAAATCATTTTACCAGACTCCAAATGAATTGGCATATTTAAAGCTAAGGAAGAGTTGTCATCCAGTATGCAAATGAGCCAGGTATGCTTTTCAGGAATGAAAAGCAATGAAAAATGACTGATTGCAAGGTGTCACCCAGACAGTTTTCATCTGCTGACCGTGACCCTCACTTCCTCCCACCACCAGCAGTCACTAGCCACAATGCGCTCAGGCGTGAGTATGCCATCAAAACACGGCTCTCCGTGCTGAGAGTACATTGTACTTGAAGGGGGCAGAACTCAGACAAACATTTTGGCTATCAGTGCAGATGTAATGAGTTTTTACTTAGAGGTAGAAAGAGACTCCCGTTTTGGCAATTTTCAGGACAAAATGGACAACCAAGCAAGAATCTTGATCAACTCTGAGGAAAATACAGAACATGAAAGAGCAAGACCAGAATTCACAGGAAAAAAATATCCCTAGAGAAGACAAATAACAAATCGAATATTCTAGAATCGGAGCAGGAATTCTAGTATCATCAGGGAGATGTAGGGATATTTGATGCCTCTAACCCAAACTGGGCCCCATCAGGAAGGGCCATCAGAACATTCAGTAAATAAAAATGTGTTCGTCAAATTGGGGGAAAAAAATCAATAAAACCTGGAAATTCAGTCAAAGAATTTTAAAAGCCAATGGTTTGGCACATGTGAGAGGAAAACCAGTAAAAGGAGTCAAAATGAAGTGAGAGAGGCCCACATTTGAGAAGCAATATTCTAAGGAGAGAACAGAGAAAGTGAACGAAACCTTAAAAAAAAAAAAAAAGCAGAAAGCAGTTGCCAGAGTTGAAGGATATTAGACTCACAGCTTAGGTCTGCACCACCACCACCATCGTCCCCCCAACGCCCCCACCCCCCTGCATCCATCCAAAATGGCACCCTCCTGTGTTCTCCCCTCCCAAACTATGAGTTTGCTGTGGGTTTGGAAGTAGGAAATGTAATCAGAAAACACTTGCAAACTATACAGCCGCCCAATGGAAAGATGCCATTGAGTTACTAAGAGATGATTTTAGCATCTTTTGGAAAACAACACTTTGTTTGATGAAACAAAATGATATAATTTTCTAATTCTACAATGTCTCAGGAAGCTGTGCAGTAGGTGGTGGGAAGAAAAATCCAGATAACACTGTCCACAAATAGGAAGTGAGGAGCATTATGGAAAACTTGCCAATATAGAAACCACTGGAACAGAAGTCTCCTTCCCTATTGGCAGGAGTTTAGTCTCAGAACTATCAGTTTATTGCCAGCCACTGCAGCATGAGTTCAATCCCTGGCCAGGGAGCTGACTCACATGGCCCTGCGGACCTCTCCTGCCTCGCCCACTGCTCCCCTCAGAGTGTATTTCAGTCCATCTGCCTGTTCTGCTCCCCACTCTGTCTCTGGTGAACCCTCTCACCCCCCCACCTCTGACCTGTACCCCAGTTCTGTATGCATAAGTAAGAAAAATAAATCCTTACCTAAAAAAACAACAACAACAACAACAACCTAGTGGAAAAAGGGCTTGAGAAGTAGGAAGTTTGTGAAGAACATCTGTGAGCTGCCTTTAGGCATCTTCACCAGAGAACAGGCTCCTGTAACAGCTCCAGCAGGTTGTCTGAAGTTGCTTTTAATGAAAAATCATCGGCTATTACAAAGCCATTTTTATTTTTGGGTGTTTCTGTCCAGTCCTTGTTTCTTTGTTCGTGTGGGCTCCATAAAAACTGGGACTTCGTGCATCTTACCCAGCTCTCTGGCCTCATCGCCGGAAACAGCCTAGTGCATGTAGGTATGTCATTCATGTCGGAGTGAATGAATGAATGAATGAATGAATGAATGAGCAAGACTTCCTCGATGCAGCTGTCTTGCTACTTATCTTTGTGACTTAGGAGACTTTTCAGCCCAGCCTGTCATCCTTGGTGGGGGCTCCCCAAGCTTCTCTGTAGACCCAGACCAAGGACTCCCACGCAGAGCTGCTTAGAAACATGTCTTTCTATAGCTGCCCACGGTCAGTAGGCCACTCCCCCAAAAGCAAGATGTGCAGAAACAAAACTTCAATGTCCGTTCGTGGGGAGCAGGGACAAAGTTGGGATTTGAGAGAGATGCAAAATGATAGTTCTTTTTTCCTTTTTTCAAGTCAAAAAGTCAGGGTTTTCCTAACTGTATGTAGTTACATTTACACATCTCTATAATGTTGGGGGGCAACTTCTCCCCATCACAGGAGCTTGTGCCTTACTTGTGCTCCCCAAAGCCAGGACTCATCCTGCCCCTCCCCCCTCCCAGGTGCTCGCCAGTGTAGTTTTCACAGCGTGCAAGGATTATTTTTGCTGTGAAAAGGACAAGCCCACACAGTTCCCTGGAGAAGGGGGCTGAAATTTGGGGTCACTGGTGGGCTTTCTACTCCCTGCTCCATTTCCCAAGACTCTCCCACCAAGGACGTGGCTCCCACCTGCAGGAGCAGCAGGCGGTGACCTCAAACCCTAGGAGGTGGGAGCAAGGTGAGGATGCCTCTTGTTCCTCCTTGTGACACCACTCTCAGCACCAGGTAAGTGGCACCTGCTGAGAGGTGGCATCATACCCATCACACCAGGGGTGGGAGGTCATACCTGGGGTGGGGGGGATCACACCTGGGCTGGGGGGTCACACCTGGGCTGGGGGGTCGCATCTGCAGTGAGGGGTTGCACCTGGGATGGGAGGTCACACCTGGGGTTGGGGGTCACACCTGGGGTGGGGGGTCACACCTGGGGTGGGGGTCGCACCTGCAGTGAGGGGTCGCACCTGGGATGGGAGGTCACACCTGGGGGGGTCACACCTGGGGTGGGGGGTCACACCAGGGTGGGAGCTCCAGTGCAAGGGGGAGGAGTGAGACTTCCCAGCAGATAAACCTTTCACAGGGTACCCAGCGTTGTAAGAGAAAAGCCAGGTCTGTACAATATCGAATGTGGTGGTGGTGGGGAGGGTGCAGTCCCATGAAGGACCGTATTTTTTTTAATAAATAATGTAATAGTCTGTTTTTACATCACTTTGTATATTTTTCCATCTCAGTTGTAATCCCTGTGGGCTTCCCATCACTAGATCACCCTGTGCCATCACCACAGTCCAGTGCATTTCCCTCCCCCCACTGTTTTTGATCCCATTCCCCACTCCGCCCCCATAAAATGTCTCTGGTCTATAGCTCTTCATTATTATTATTATTATTTTCTCACCTGGGAAGGACGGTATTTTTGTCAAAAATAGATGAATAATTCTCATGTGAGTAAGCACAGTTAATAAGAGCACAGAGCGATGATGCAGCAGGCAGTGCCGGTTATCTGGGGGGGCCCTAACGGGGGCTATTAGGCTAATTTTGATGTCCGCATTTTGTGTAATGGAAATGCGTTTCTTCTTTAATCAGAAAATGAGTAATAAAGAAATTAAACTAGAAAGTAAAAGGCTGTTTTTCTCCCTAACGACAGGCTAGCCAATTACCTCTAGGATGCTGGGCTGTGTGGGCGACCTTGCCCAGGGACGCTGTGGCTTACTCCTGCCCGCTCTTGAGGGACCTCTGCTCCCCAGTTTTCCCTCTGTGCCACTACATTAGGACTGGGAACCGCAGGTGAGGTCCTGGACATTATGGTCTCTGGGGGCCTCAGAGGATCATGCACTGGGCAGACACATCCAAGAATAAAAACTGCTAGGTAATATGAAGGGGGTGTGATTAAGTTTTGTGAAAAGCAATGTCTGAAAACCTGGTGGAGCTGTTACAGGAGTCTGCTCTCTGGTAAAGAAGTTAAAATTCCTACTTCTCAAGCCGTTGTTCTGGTAGTTTCTATATCAGCAAGTGTTCAGTTTTCTGTAGTCCTCCCCACTTTCTAATTCATGGACGTGTGGTCTGGATTTCTCTTCCCACCATCTCCTGTCCCAAGACACTGTCGAATTAGCAAATTCCATCACTTCTTTTCGTCATGCATTGGCTTAAAGTGCTGTTTTTCAAAAGAAACTAAATTAGAGCCTCTGTGTCCATGTTTGATGCAGGTAATTCATGCAACCCTGGAAACTCACCCACCTGCGCGTTAATGGGTGCCTTTCATCTTGGACGAGCTGGTGAGAGTAGCCACCTTGTTTTGATCATACAAGATGCAGGCAACTGATGATTTTACCAATCAGACACTGGACATTCAAACAAACAAAAAGCCCACCTCTTTGTCTTTCTGGACAGCTCCCAGATGGTAGGGTTTATAATACCTGAGGTAGACAGAAAAATAAGAGCACCTAGTCCCTCAAGATTTTATTAAATTTTAATTGTGGCAGGTTAAATAAGTAAATAAGCATGAACGTGAAATTGTTTTCAAATGGAAGGGTTTCTGGTATCCCTATACTGAGATGGCATGGTTTGATAGCGCTGGATGACTCGGATGCAGGTTCACAGCTCTTCAGATGTACGGGAGTTATTGTTTGAAGGTAAAAATAGAATGAAAGCTCAGTAAAGATGCCCTTTAAAGTGAAAAGTAGAATCCTTTTATTATAACTAAATTCTGGCTCAGTAAAGTGAATTTTATTTCTCTAAAAGGCAGAGGTCACATCATCATCTGTTGAAAACCTGCCTCAAAATCTCTCTCGCTTTGTGCCAAAGCCTTACCTGGTGTGCCAGGTGCTTCGCGATCTGTACCTTCGCCTGTTACTGTCTGACCACATCTTCCTCCACAGTGAGCACCACTCGCTGCTCCCCAGCCGCTGTGGCCCCTCAGGGTTCCCCAAGCCAAGGAGCACACCTGAACAGCGGTTCAGGCCTCAGGCCTTTGCACTGGCCTTTCCTTCTTCCCGGAACCCAAATATTCCTCCCAGGTCTGTACTCAGATTCCATCTTCTCATGAATCCACCCTAAATCCTATTTACAACTTACCTTCTTCATGATGGACATTTAAAATTTATTCTCCTCCATGTGCTTTCACTGCTGGTGCGATTTTAAATCGGTATGGACACTGGAGGCGCGCTGTGCCATTCTGTTTGAAATCTAAGATGGGGCTGTCCCACCAACAGTTACACTCTTCTCCCTCTCGCCTGCAAACACACCTGCACATATGCGCAAGGAGGTGCCTATTAGGGTGTTCATTGCAGCAAAGTCCAAAAAAGTGAAAAAATGGAAATAATTTAAAAATCCATCAGTAGAAGGATGGTTAAATGTATCAATGCATGTTTATACTATAAAGTACTATTCAGCATTTAAGTTGAATTAAGTGTGTATATGAATGAGTACATCTCCAGGACTTACTGGTGAGTGGTGGAATGGAAATTTTTTATAAAAAAAAAAAAATCCAAGAACAGGCCCTCCTTGGTGGTGCAGAAGGTTAAAGCACAGCACTAAGAAGCTAAAGCTAAACCAGAATGAGTTTTATCCCTCCACCCCAGAGGTGACCACATGGCGTGGCAGACCTCTCCTGGCCCGCCCGCTGCTCCCCTCAGCAGTGTACTTCATCAGTCGGCCTGTTCTGCTCCCCACTCTGTCTGCGGTGAACCCTATTACTGCCCCTGCACCTCTGGCCTGTACCCCAGTTCTGTATGCATAAATAAATGAATCTTTTAAAAAAAAAAAACCCGAGAACAATGAGTGTGACTATAAAGAGTAGCAGCAGACACCTTTTGGTAATGAAATAATTCTGTATTTTGATTGTGGTTAGAAATCATAAATTATAAATGATGTGTTTGTAAACACATCAGTGAAGTTTACAAACATCTGACATGAATGTAGATGCAAAACTTAAAGCATCAGCAAATGTGTTCAATGATATATAAAGGTCAGTAATATACCATGACCAAGTGGTTTATTTCAAGGATGCAAGATTAGTTCAGTAGTTGAAAATCAATCAATATAATCCACCACATTAGTAGACTAAAAAGGAAAATTCACATAATCATGTCAGTTTGAGCAGAAAAAAATATTGGCAAAATTCAATGCTCACCCATGGTAAAATCTTTCAGAAAACTAGAAATAGAGGGAATGTATTTGTAAATGCCTCTCCCAATCAATAAAAAAAAATAAAAGAACACCATTTACTGGGAGGTGGTGGAAAAATGGTCATTTCAGATGGCGTGATTGTTTCCTATAGAAACCCAAAGGCATCAGCTGAAAAACGATTAGAATTCTGGTGTCAGTAGAGTTGCAATGCCATCAAAACTCAGTTGGGTTCCTGTGCCAACACCCATAATAGAAAAGCAATCAGTTGAGGAAAATTTCATTGCCAATGCAATAATATATAAAATACCTAGAAATAAACCTTTCAGTTGAAGTGTTGGACTCTAATGATGAAAATGATGATATTTAATTGAAGGAACATAAGAGCAGCTTCAAGAAATGGAAAGATTTGCAATAGTTCTAGAAGGAAAGGCTTAATTTAATATAATAAAGATAAAAAAAACTCTCCCCCAAACAAATCCCTGCTATCTAAATACCAATGGGACTTAAAAAAAAAAAAAAAACAACTGAACACAATTATTCTAGAATTTATCTGTTAAGAGTAGGAAGAGCCGAACCCTCCCTGGTGACGCAGCGGGTTAAAGCATAGCACCGCGAAGCTAGCGGTACCTTTGGCGCAAATTTGATCCCCAGTCTGGAGGTGTGACCCACATGGCGCGGCAGACCTCTCCTGACCCCCCCCGCTGCTCCCCTCAGCAGTGTTCTTCACCAGTTCTGCCTGTTCTGCTCCCCACTCTATCTCTGGTGAACCCTATCACCGCCCCTGTACCTCTGGCCTGTACTCAGTTCTGTATGCATAAAGAAAGAAATCTTTAAAAAAAAAAAAAAAAAGTAGGAAAGCCAATACGAGTGTTCACTAGTATATTTAGTAAAAAAAAAAAAAATTCAAAATATATTAACTTATTTAATGATATATTACAATGACAATTACATTTGCATGTAGCAGGTCATAAAATACAAGCAGTGGAATCAGTTAACAAATTACATTTACAAGGGGCTTGGAGCACCACTTATAATGGATAGAATAATAGGTAATTCCCTTCAGGTCCTCTGAGTTCTTGTATTGTATACAACGAGTACATTTTTATATTATGAAGAATAAAATGGCTATTTTATGAAAACCCTGTTCGCATCTTACTCCTCAGAAAGCCTGCCCTTACTTAACCCAGTCCTTCCTGATGGCTAGATGGCTTCATTTTGTGGTTTTCACTGTGGCAGATTTAATTTATCATAATTCTTTGGATTTCTTCTAGCTTTTTGAGTGTTACAGAAATCTGACTTTTCTGTCTATATGGTTCTTAATATAGAACCTTATATAATGCAGGGCTTCATAAATATTTGGTGACTAAATGAATAAACTATTAAGAAAAATTCGAAGAAAACATACAATTCATATTATCACCACTAGGGGGCACTACATATCCACCAACATAATTTGTGGCGCTTAATGTGGTTTTTTTTTTTTTAAACAAGATTGTTAAAATCTTTGAAACCTTCCAGAAGGCATTATCAAGCCCACTTGGGGGGACTGAATTTAAACCGCTCCTAACTGTGCAATGTTTCTCCTATAATTAGATATCCCACCTTATGTAAATTCATTGTACTTCATATCTGCTCCAGTTTGGCACTGATCAAAAGTAGTTTTATTGCTTATTAAATTGTACCCTGTGTCTGTAATCTTACCTCCACAACAAGCTCATGTTTCAGCTCATTTCTCTTTCATTAGCCAGTTCGGTTCTAGTTGTAAAGAAAAAGTAAGCAAATATACTTATTTAATTGAATTAAAAGAAAAATACCCTCTCTCAAGTCATGAGTCACACTAAGAAATTGAATGTGCAAAACTCGAGATGTACAAAATACAAAAATTATGTGGTAGTTATAAGAACATCTCACCTTTATTTATAGAACTTCTATTATACACATTACAAAAGAAAATCTTTCCTGATACATTTAAATATGACCTTATTTTTAGAATTGAAGTCGAGCTACTTTTATAAGGGGCCATTAGGATTCAAGCATAACAGGCTGTTGTTGAGAGGCAGACAAATCCACTCAAGGTGGGGAGGGAGCCTCCAGAGGAAGGCGGAACTGGAGTATGTTTGATGTTAAGAAAAAATTAAAAAGTGGGAATCACTCGGGCACATACAAAATCAAGAATGATGTAAATGTATGTGTGTGTGTATATGTGTGTGTGTGTGTATATATATATATATATATATATACATATATACATATATATATATATACATATATATATATATATATATATATACACACACACACACACACACACACATATATATAAAGTGGGAATCTAGTTCATCACAGAGCTGCTGTGTTACAAGGGCTGTGATGTGGACAAGGTAGGAAGAAAGTCAGGATTGGGCAGTAGCTAGACTCCTCAGAAGGGCCAGCAGCTACTGGAGTTCGAATCCCAGCACTGCCACTAATTTTACAACCTTGAATAAGTCACCTTCTCCATGTCATAGGAGATGATGATTAGAACCCACTCCTAAGATTCTTAGGAGGATTAAATGAGATAATATATGAAAAACACTTGGTGCATAGTCAATGCAGAAAATCTAGTAACACATTCAACAAGTGACAGAAAGTCATGTTCCGTGTGTGCCCATCATTCTGCCCTGGACCATGGCGTCAGAGTTTCCTTGTTCATTTCATTAAGTAACCTGTTAATAAGTGAGCGTTCTATGTAAACATTTTGCTGAGGAAGAAATGTACAGATGAGCCAGTATTAGTATTAATGAGCTAGTAATCGTAATTATTAATTACTATTAATAAGCTATTTTTTTGTTTAGGATAAAAAATAAAGTTACATCTCCTTTAATGTTCAAGTTGAAGGACTTAATTCTCTTCATGACCTAATAAGCAGGAATGAAGTCTTGCCAGGGGCCTTTTCTCCAGTGATACTCATAAGAAACCAGCATTCATTCAGTTCAATCAGCCAGTATTTATTAAGCATCTGCTAAGTGCCAGGCGTGTTGAAAGCACTGTAGTTGAAGTGGTGAACAAAACATCCCTCCACTTCCAAATCCCCGCTTGCTCATGGGGCTTCCGTGCTAGCAGAGGAGACAAATGGTAATTAAGGGGAGAGTTAAATGATGTAGCTGGACAGTGATAAGTATTAAGGAGAAAAATTAAGCCAGAGGAATTCATGGGGAGGTAGACACTGAGGTGATGTGAATTTAGAGAGAGAAGGCTGGGAAGACAGGACTGGAGGCGGGGAGGCAGGCAGCCACTGGTCTGGGAAACAGTTAACCTGCCACAGTCAGGAAAGCAGGGATTCAGATGTTCCCTGGGGACAGTTTCCACTCACCCCAGGGCATCTCTCCTGCTGAACTGACAGACATCCCAGGTAAACCCCACCGCTGCCAGGACCACCTCTACCACATGCTGGCGCAACCTCTTACCCCTGGAAAGCCATAAGTCCTGAACCCTCTGCCACTGTTCCTCTCATGAGGATGTTGGA